TAGAGTGCAGTGGCACGATCTCAGCTCACTGCAACCTCCGCCTCCCAGGTTCAAGCAATTCTCCTGCCTCAGCCTCCTGAGTAACTGGGATTACAGGCATGTACCACCATCGCTAGCTAATTTTTTGTGTTTTTAGTAGAGATAGGGTCTCACCAGGTTGGCCAGTGTGGTCTCAAACTCCTGACCTCAGGTGATCTGCCTGCCTCAGCCTCCCAAAGTGCTGGGATTATAGGTGTTAGCCACAGTGCCCAGCTTTTTGTCTTCTTCTTATCCTAGAGGACTTTGCAAGAGGAAGCAGGGTTCCAGGAATTAGTGATTCCTTCATGTCACAATAGCCTTTGAGCTCCACTGACCTTGTATGCTGTTATGTGTAGTATGCACCCACTGAGGATTTGCTAACTGACAGAGACCCAGGGTTAAGGCAGATGTGGGTTATCTGGGATTAAGCTAGTCCCATGAGTGTGCTTTCTATAGCATACAATTCCCATTCAGGTGGGAAGGTGAGGTGGGGGTAGCCAGAGATCAGCCTCTTTATCTGAAAAGCACTGAGGTGGCCCTTACTGGCAGACAGAACAGAGTGGGACCATGGTTTAAGTGCCCTGGAACGATTCCCAGAAACAACCTGAATAGTTGAAACAGCCTACCAAGAAAGGCCTTGGCCTTTCCAGCTACTTCTGATTATTTATTCCAGATTTACCTTTTCCCCAGCCTGTCTCTTTCATTATCTAGGTCTTATTGTTTATTACAGTCAACTCGTCTTTCTCCTGTATACCTAGGGGTGGAACAGAGTGTTATTTCTGTAATCAGGGCTTGATTTTATGTGGCTTTTGTATGAGGGAAGCCCACCGAGGTGGGAGTCCAGAAACAATATCCCTGCACTGTGGCCGAGCACAGTGGCTTATGCCTCTCTGCTGATGCCATGGTTATATCTCTCCTCTGTTTTCAGCTCCTCTCCACCAAACTGCCATATTGCCGTGAGAACGTGTGTCTGGCCTATGGTAGTGAATGGTCAGTGTATGCAGTGGGCTCCCAAGCTCATGTCTCCTTCTTGGATCCACGGCAGCCATCATACAATGTCAAGTCTGTCTGTTCCAGGGAGCGAGGCAGTGGTAAGAGTCCCTGTGTGCACCTCAGGCCTACAGCTGAACTGCATATGGGTTCTGACTTTCAGTGTCTTTGTTGGTTTCCAAACAGGTATAGTGCTCTGTATGGAACATACAAAAATGTGTTCAAAAAGGGGAGTGATGGCTGGGCGCAGTGACTTACGCCTGTAATCCCAGCACTTGGGGAGGCTGAGGCAGGCGGATCACCTGAGGTCGGGAGTTTGAGACCAGCCTGACCAATATGGAGAAACCCTGTCTCTACTAAAAATACAAAATTAGCCGGGCACAGTGGTGCATGCCTGTAATCCCAGCTACTCGGGAGGCTGAGGCAGGAGAATCACTTGAACCTGGTCAGCGGAGGTTGCAGTGAGCTGAGATCGCACCATTGCACTCCAGCTTGGGCAATGAGAGCGAAACTCTGTCTCAAAAAAAAAAAAGGCGGGGGTGGGAGGGGAGTGACACAAAAGGGCACTAGGCTTTCAAACACCACAGACAAATGTGTGGCCACAGAAGCCTTTGTTGGAAGGCACCAGTGAGGATATTAGTTAGTAGTTTCCATGTTCTTTTAGAAAGCCCTACTTTCTTTCTTTCTTTTTTTTTTTTTTTTTTTTTTTTGAGGCAGTGTCTCGCTCTAACACCAGGCTGGAGTGCAGTGGTGTGATCTCGGCTCACTGCAACCTCTGCCTTCCGAGTTCAAGTGATTCTCCTGCCTCAGCCTCCCGAGTGGCTGGGACTACAGGCATACACCACCACGCCCAACTAATTTTTGTGCTTTTAGTAGAGACGGGGTTTCACTATGTTGGCCAGGATGGCCTTGATCTCTTGACCTTGTGATCCACCCACCTTGGCCTCCCATAGTGCTGGGATTACAGGCGTGAGCCACTGCACCTGGCTGAGAACCCTGCTTTCTGTCCTGTGGTAATTTTTTTGCTGTGGTCCTGCCTGAACTAAAATTCCATTTATGCTAAGATGTGGCATGGTGGGATAAGGAGGAAGTTTACAAAGGGCATGAGGAAACCTCAGGGTAATGAGTATGTTCATTATGTAGATTGTGGTTATGATGTCATGGATATATACATATGTTAGAACCTCAAATAGTATACTTTATGTGCCGTATATTGTATGACAAACCTCAATGAGGCTGAAGAAAATACTGAATTTAGTTCTGACCACTGGGTAAATTAAGCTTCCACCTCAAATCTTTTATAGCATGTTCTCTGTAAGAGCACCCTCATTCTTTATTGAAGAGGGAAAAAATACTTATTCTAGTGTACTTTGAAGGTTTCAGAATACCTTTTTCTGACATCCCATTTCATCATACCAAGAACCCTGTGGGAAGCAGATGAGAAAAGATAGTTTTACACATAAGACCTAGAACCAGCTAAATAACTTGCCCAGCATCACACAGCTTAATGGGGGAACAGCTAGGGACCAGAATCCAACTTAACAAATTGTATTTTCTTTATCTCACTTTATCTCATTTTCTCATGCAAAACTATGGCTGTGTTATCATGAGAGTCCTAAAAGGCACACTGTGGATTATAGTTCACCCTCTCTTTTTCAAGTAGTGTTTATTTCTGTGCAGATACTGCAAAGTAGCTTTTGTTTTTGTTTGGGTCTTTTTTTTTTTTTTTTTTTTTTGGAGACAGGGTCCTCACTCTGTTGGCCAGGCTGGAGGACAGTGGCGCAATCTCGGCTCTTTGCAGCTTCCACCTGCCAGGCTCAAGCAGTCCTCCCACCTCAGCCTCCCAAGTAGCTGGGACTATAAGCGTCCACCACCTCATTCAGCTAATTTTTTTATTTTTGTAGAGACAGGTTCTCATCATGTTGCCCAGACTTGTCTCAAACTCTTGGGCCACCCACCTCAGCCTCCCAAAGTGTGTGCTAAGATTATAGGGATTACAGGCATGAGACACTGTGCCCAGCTATTTTTTTTTTTTTTTTTTTTTGAGATGAGTCTAGCTCTGTCACCCAGGCTGCAGTGAAGTGGCGTGATCTCAGCTTACTGCACCCTTTGCCTCCCAGGTTCAAGCGATTCTCCTGCATTAGCCTCCTGAGCAGCTGGGACTACAGGCGTGTACCACCATGCCCAGCTAATTTTTATGTTTTTAGTAGAGATGGCGTTTCACCATGTTGGTTGGCCAGACTGGTCTCGAACTCCTGACCTCAAGTGATCCACTCACCTTGGGCCTCCCAAAGTGCTGGGATTACAGGCTTGAGCCACCATGCCCAGCCTATTTTTTCTTAGTTATAGTTAAAATACTTATATTTTAGAACAAAGAATAACGTATAATGAGAGTAGTAGAGAAAGGAATAAATAGGGCCAGACGCAGTGGCTGATGCCTGTAATCCCAGCACTTTGGGAGCCTGAGATAGGTGGATCACCTGAGGTCAGGAGTTCAAGACCAGCCTGATCAACATGGTGAAACCCCATCTCTACTAAAAATACAAAAAAAATTAGCTGGGGGTGGTAGCGGGTGCCTGTAGTTCCAGCTACTTGGGAGGCTGAGGTGGGAGAATCACTTGAATCTGGGAGGCGGAGGTTGCGGTGAGCCAAGATTGAACCACTGCACTCCAGCTTTGGCAACAGAGACTCTTGTCTCAAAAAAAAAAAAAAAAGACTAAGTAGGTTTGGCTGTAATAATGTATGCAATGAAAAGTTTTAAGAGATTTTTGGTACTGTTTAATGGGGGTAATTTTCATACCTAGTAAGGAAATACTGGTTCCACAAATATTATCCAGTTCTTATATGCCAAGAGACATCTTCATATCCCAAGCACTGATTTGATCCCCAAGTACAGCAGATGTGTTTTCCTTGTGATCTAAAGTAATTACATGACTTGTCTTAAACTTCTTTGGGTATTTAATTCTGGGCTTTTTGCCACTCTCAAAACATCTAATACCAGATAAAGACTTCTTGCACTGTGGCCGAGCACAGTGGCTCATGCCTGTAATCCCAGCACTTTGGGAGGCCGAGGTGGATCACTTGAGGTCAGGAGTTCAAGACCAGCCTGGCCAACATGGTGAAACCCTGTCTGTACTGAAAATGCAAGAATTAGCTAAGTGTGGTGGCAGGAGCCTGTAATCCCAGCTACTTGGGAGGCTAAGGCAGGAGAATCACTTGAACCTGGACGGCAGAGGTTGCGGTGAACCAAGATCGCGCCATTGCACTCCAACCTGGGCGACACCAGAGTGAGACTGCATCTCAAAAAATAAAAAAAGACTTCTTGCATTTGCCACAGTAGCGGTTTTAGGTCAAATATAAGGAATCCTTGATGACTTAATGATTTATAAATATGCAGATTACCTTGAGATGGAAACATATGATGGAGAAAAGTTTAAAGTTATTAAAGATGACTCCAGAGTGAGTTGAGAGGAAGCAAGGAAGTTCTGAGTACTTACGGTCTTCAGTCAAACGCATCTTGAGCATCATCGGGAATCTGACACTTTTCCAAGGCTTCTTGGACGGTTTCTGTTAGTGTGTGGATAGGCAGGATGGCATCAGGATTCTCTTTGCTTTTTCATGAGCTAACTTGCCATTGGGAAAGCACTGTCTGATACGTTGAGGGGAGCGGGGTGGACAGTGGAAACTCAGTGTTGCAGAAATTCAGGCTAGCAGACAGTCAAGCAAATACTCTCTCCCACTTCACTGCCTTTTACTTTTCTCTCTTTCAGGAATCCGGTCCGTGAGTTTCTATGAGCACATCATCACTGTGGGAACTGGGCAGGGCTCCCTGCTGTTCTATGACATCCGAGCTCAGAGATTTCTGGAAGAGAGGCTCTCAGCTTGTTATGGGTCCAAGCCCAGACTAGCAGGGGAGAATCTGAAACTAACCACTGGCAAAGGCTGGCTGGTGAGTAAGCCCCTGTCTGAGATGACTGCTACACAGTAACAGAAAAATTATCTTCCTCTACCCCTCAGCCCCCACTGACACACCATCTACTCACACTTTTTCACCAGTAAAAGGCACTCCTTGGAACAGGAGAAGACTTCCCCCTGATCTTGCTTTTGTGTCTCTACGTTACCTGTGGGAAAACTGAGGCCCAGTAAAACACACTGGTTGACTTAGGATTTTCCCCAAGGCATAATAGAGGAACCTCCCACCACAGCTGTCAGTGAATTTTTTTTTTTTTTTTTAGACAGCATCACTGTGTTGCCCAGGCTGAAGTGCAGTAGTGTGATCATAGCTTACTGTATGTAGCCTTGAACTCCTGGGCTCAAGCAGTCCTCCTGCCTCAGCCTCCCAAGTAGCTGGGACCACAGGCATATGCACTGTGCTTGGCTAATTTATTTTTTTTAGTAGAGATGGGGTCTCGCCACATTGCCCAGGCTGGTCTCAAACTCGTGGGCTCAAGTGATTCTCTCACCTTGGCCTCCTAAAATTCTGAGATTACAGCCATGAACCAGTGCGCCCTACCTCCAGTGAATTATTCAAGTGTTTGGTTCTTTCTCCTGTGTCTAGCGGGTGGAGGGAAAATAGAACTTTGGTTCGAACTCTGCTGAGAAGAACTGAGCCTTGTATAGCAATTCTTCAGCTGCTCCGTTCTTCCCTAATGTTTAGTTGGAAAAATGAGGCCCCGATTCCCATGAGAATCAACCAGCGAATCTCCTGACATGAGGTTGTACCTGTAGAACCCTGTTCCCTTAAGGAGACCAGAAAGCATTCCTGTCCCTTCCTCCCCCTTTTCCTGCCCCATGGCTAGAGGTGCTAATTGTAGTCCTTTTCTCTTCCCATAGAACCATGATGAAACCTGGAGGAATTACTTTTCAGACATTGACTTCTTCCCCAATGCTGTTTACACCCACTGCTACGACTCGTCTGGAACGAAACTCTTTGTGGCAGGAGGTCCCCTCCCTTCAGGGCTCCATGGAAACTATGCTGGGCTCTGGAGTTAATGACAACTCCCCAAATGCAGAGATTTACACTAACTTCCATCCTCAGTTTCCTTGTTTCTTCTGATTTTTTTTTTCCTAATTGTGTGAGGCTCTTGTGTTTTAGTGGGAACACCAAAGTTTGCCTATAGTTTAGGCACTTAATAGGAAGAAGCTCTGTACAGAAATCTGAAGGTTGTTTGGTTTTTTGTTTTCCCCTTTGGTAATCAAAATTTTACTGTCTTTTATTCTGGCTTTTCAACCAAACATTGTTGCTAATCCCTATTTTTCTTTAAGTGACACACATTCTCCCCTCTCTGGCTTCTTTAGGCTGAAATGACATAGTCATTCTCACCCTTACTTCACTCTTGAGGGGTAGGGCTCCTTTATAATTATATGGTTGCTGTCAGACTTTCTGTGAAAGTTTGGGAGCTGTGTGTGTGTGAGAGAGATCTTGTCTCTGTGTGTGTGTGTGTGTGTGTGTGTGTGTGTGTGAATGTGTGATCTTGTGTGCCTGTAGGTACTGTGTGTCACTGAAATTACCTGGAGTGAGGATTACTTGTAATTAAAATATTTATAAAAGAAACAACTTTATTCACAGAGTCCAGCTTTGGGACTAGTCTGTAACTTGTTTTTTAAAGTCTAACAACACTGATAATAGGAAGTAAAAACAGAAAGGAAAAGAAATTACCACTGGGAAAATCTTTTGAGTTAGATTGCAGGCTTCCTGGGGCCTCCTGTGCCAGGACTGCAAAGTGATCCAGCCCTACCTGTCTTCCCACCTGTGTGTCCCCCGTGTGGGAAGCTGGTGTCACTTCCCCTTCCCACCCTCACATCTGCTTAGCCAGTAGCCACACCCCTAAAACATCAGACTCACTATCCAGGTTCAGCTCTAGAGGCTGCAAAAGGCTTCATGGGACTTGGTAAAGAGAATCCCCATCCTAGCTTCTCTCTCCATCCCCTCAAGACCTGATCTAGTGTTTAAGGGGCCTGGAGCTGGGAGTCTCAAGTCTGCTAAGGTTCACATCCATAGTCCTCTTGGCTTTGAGGAGAATCCTCTCTGCCATTCTTCCAATCTCCTCAATGGGTTTTGCTTTTATTTTCTAAATTGGGTTAAGTCTAAGAAGGTGGGGGTGAGCAGGGGGTTTATCTGTGTGTAGTGAGTGCTTCATGTGTGGAATATTCATTTTCCCACTTCTGCGGGACTTGGGGTTGAAGCCACCCCTCCTACTCTGCTGGCTTAGCCCTGAGATGGTGACAGGCTGGCCTGCAGTCAGCGTCATTGTGCATGTAACAGCATCGATGTGATTAGTAATTTGTCTGTTCCTCCCTTGAACTGTCTGTTTAGTCTGGGGTTTTTTAACTTGCAGGCGACTGACTGTGATGTCCACTTGTTCCTTGATTTTTACACATCATGTCAAAGATAACAGCTGTTCCCACCCACGAATTCCTCTAAGCACATACTCTGCTTTTCTGTCAACATCCCATTGTGGGGAAAGGAAAAGTCATATTTATTCCTGCACCCCAGTTTTTTAACTTGCTCTCCCAGTTGTCCCCCTCTTCTCTGGGTGTAAGTAGGGAAATTGGAAAAAAATAATATATATATCCTCCTTTTAATGGTGAGGGGCTGCTGGAGAGGAGAGACAGCAAGTCCACCCTAACTTGTTACACAGCACATACCACAGGTTCTGGAATTCTCATCTTCGAACCTAGAGAAATAGGTGCTATAAACAGGGAATTAAGCAAAATGCTGGATGCTATAGATCTTTTAATTGTCTTAATTTTTTTTCTATTATTAAACTACAGGCTGTAGATTTCTTAGTTCTCACAGAACTTCTATCATTTTAAACTGACTTGTATATTAAAAAAAAAAAAAATCTTCAGTAGGATGTTTTGTACTATTGCCAGACCCTCTTCTGTGATGGGTAATGCATTTGATTGTTTGAGATTTTCTGTTTTTAAAAATGTAGCACTTGACTTTTTGCCGAGGAAAAAAATAAAAATTATTCCAGTGCAAAATGGTGTGAGTGAGTATTATGTAGCCAGGAGCCTGCAAAAAAGGCCCCACATGACTAATTGGAAGGTTGGCTTGAGCTGTTGGGACTGCTTGTGGCAGATGGAGAACACAAGCACTACCTCCAGGTTAAAGGCAGGTCAAGTGCAGACACAGATGCTAAGACCTGCTAGGTCCAGGTCCCCAACTCTAGCCCAAGATCAGTTGCTCTGAGGCCTAGCTGCGGGTGGATATGCCCAGGGTAGCAAAGTAGTGTGACGTTACTTCTCTCACATAAGTAAGGGTTGGTAATAGGCCCTGTCTGCTTGGATGGTGCCCTGAGAATGACTCTGAAAGTGTTTGCATAGTACTCTGGGAATAGGATATTATTATTTTTTGTAGTTGGAACCATAGACCTTCACTGCCCTTTGTAAGGGGAAGGCACAGTGACCAGAGTGATGTTTTCCTAGAGCCTATTTGGAGCTGTAGCTGAGAGAAACTGCTAAGTCATACCACCCTTCTTCACACAGTCATCTCCGGGAAACCCACCAGGGCTGGGCCGCAGAGCCTGGCAAGGCCGCCCCTATTCTTCTGCCACATGGTACTTGTTCTTTCCAGGGCAAGCTGGACGCAGCTGCCCTGTGCACCTGTCTTACAGACTGACTGGTTCAGAACATGACACACGGGTTCCTATACGGTCAAAGGCTGCAAGACAGGAAGGGGAGATGAGTAAGTTAAAGCAATTTGAGAGGGCTCCCCAGAGGAAACGAGTTACATTTGGAAAGGGCTGAAACTAGCTTTTCCCAAAATGAATTTAGAAAGTATTTGTAAAATCTTCATTGTCGGCTAGGTGCGGTGGCTCACACCTGTAATCCCAGCACTTTGGGAGTACCAGGTGGGTGGATCACCTGAGGTCAGGAGTTTGAGACCAGCCCAGCCAACATGGTGAAACCCCATCTCTACCAAAAATACAAAAATTAGCCGAGTGTGTTGGCAGGTTCCTGTAATCCCAGCTATTGGGAGGCTGAGGCAGGAGAATTGCTTGTACCTGGGAGGCAGAGGTTGCAGTGAGCCGAGATTGTGCCACTACACTCCAGCCTGGGCAACAGAGTGAGACTCCAAAAAAAAAATTGTCAAATCATTTTTGGGAAATGCAGATTAGAACAAAGGCAACTTCATTCCTTTACTGTCAGGTTTTTTTTATTTTTAAAAATTGGAAAGGAGAGCTTTATTTCTCAAAGGGTTGCAGTCTGCAGGGTGGCCATTCTGACAAGTTGGGAAGTAGAGCTTCTGGCCAGAAGTCAGAAACACACTCTGAGTGAGGGGCAAAGGGGACAGGAATTTATGTTGAACAAGGTGGCTGAATATATATATTTAATAAGCTATAGGAGGAGTCATGAATATTTATGAAAGGAAAAAGGTACACATGCATAACTGAACTCTCAGGTTTTTGGTATTTTACTATGGGACTTGTTCCATAGAACATGCTCAAAGAAAGGTGACTTAGGGGATGTGGGGTTGACTTGGCCTAGGCCTCTGGCCTCCATGGAATCTTGGCCCTGCTCCCATTTTCCAGCCAGACTCTCCAGCAAAGCATGTATCACAGAAGGGCTTTGTGGACTTTGTGGGGTCCCCTTTTTGCCAGCAGTCCCTACTCCCTTCTGTGAAAGAACTTCTTGTTCTCTCTCAGGCCACATGCCACATGCCTTATTCCAAATAGTCTACTGGCTCCTCCTCATCCTTCGGGTCCTTTTACAGGAGGCTTTGGAGCTGAACTGAATTCTTAGCCCTTCATGACTTGTTTATGCTCCAAGTCCCTGGTCCCCTGCCAACTCTAATTGATTATTGATCTGGCCCTGTGTTCCTAATAAAGCTAAAGACTGCCCCCAGTCCAGGCCACTCTGATCCAGCTGCCATTCCTAGTGCAGGTACCCAGAAATAGCAAGTCAGGATGTCCATACTTGTATCAGCACCAGGGATCAATCTTGTAGGAGTTAGCCTATGATCCAAGTGTTTTTGTTCTGCTTTTCAATTGGCTGGTGTCTAGAAGACAACAATGAGGGGCGGAGGGTGGACAAGAGAAGGAATCACTCAATGTTATTTGCTTCATGCTAGTTCATTCACATCTTTCTTCATGCTAGCGTGCTGAGATAACTGAAAGGTTTGGGAGGATAGAAACATAGGTTGCTAATTCTGGAACCAGTGATGAAGACAATAAAAGGCTCAGGTTTTTTAGCTTGGTTCTGCCCTTAGCTCCTCCAAAGAAGAATCCAATGAAAGAAATGTGAGACATAGGAATACTACCACTGGAGAGAAAGGTGTGAACTGAACTCAAGATGGAGATGGAGTTGTGAGCTCTTTTATGATTCCTCTCTCCAAGAGACATGTGGACTATCAGAATCCCCCTGGGTTGGGCCTCACATCTGAACACTCTTCTTGATTAGTGTGGAATTGCCGAAGGCAGGATTTTTAAGGGATAATACTATTTAACAGCACTCAGGCCGGGTGCAGTGGCTCACGCCTGTAATCCTGGCACTTTGGGAGGCTGAAGTGGGCAGATCACGAGGTCAGAAGATTGAGACCATCCTGGCCAACATGGTGAAACCCTATCTCCACTAAAAGTGCAAAAAATTAGCTGGGTGTGGTGGCTCGTGCCTGGAATCCCACCTACTCAGGAGGCTGAGGCAGGAGAATCGCTTGAACCCAGGGGTCGGAGGTTGCAGTGAGTTGAGATCATGCCACTGCACTCCAGCCTGACAACAGAGACTCCATCTTGGGGAAAAAAAAAAAAAAAAAGGTGCTCATAGTCACATGTTTACTGTGCTTCTTGTTAAGCTGTAAGCTGTAAGGTGTATTCAGAGATATAATTAACATCACTAGTGCTATGGACAGGAAGAAAACAGATGATCAACTCATACCTTAAAAGAAAATAAACTAGCCAGGCATGG